GGCGTGGGGCGCAGGCCCCCCTGCTCCGCGGAGCGGGTGGGAAATGGCAGTGGGAGCGGCGCGGCAGCCGCGCGTGGGGTGGGGAGTGAGCCAGCCAGCCTACGAGTTCTTTTATGTAATTTAAGGTGTGGAGACCTACCTGCTGCCAAGGCTGAGGTCAGAGGCCCCGCAGTTACGTGAAGGGGGCCGGGCTCAGAGTCCCGGGAGCCCCGACGTGATTCGCTGCGTGGACTTGGGAGAGTCCTGCCAATGAATTAGGTTCTGGCAGTTTACTCACAGCCCTGAATAATAATAGTGACAATAACTATGATGGCAGCTAAAACTTATGTAGTATTTACTCTTAAAGTGCTTCATATGGGTTACCCTCACGGCGTTCCTAAAACGTAGGTACTGTCATTGTCTCCATTGTGTAGGTGGGGAAACCAAGGTCCAGAGAGGTTAAGTTGCCCAAGGCCGCACGACAGAAAGGGGTCGGTGCGGGATTGGACCCGAGGCACCCGAGGCACCCGCGCTTCGCCCTCTGAGGGTCTGAGTAAATAAATGGCTCTCTGTGATTGCCAGTGGCCTATTTATCCCAGGAAGTAGGATGTATGCTGAGAGAACAGCCAGGTGACAGCTTCTTTTGGGTCCCTTTTAGATAGCCATCCGAGCTTGCTTCCTTGGCTTCGTGTTCGGCTGCGGGGTGCTGCTAAGTTTTAGCCAGTCGTCTTGGAATCACTTTGGCTGGTAAGAAGTCCTTTGGGAACAGTGGGTTTGAGGCTGGGGTGGGCGGACCACAGGGTCAGTGGTAGCTCTCCATTATCCTTGGGTCTCCTCGTCTCTGACTGGCCGAAGGCTGTTTAGGGGTCTGTGGAAATGAGGTCTCTATCTTCCACCTAGATTCCCACATCTTGGACCTTGAGAGCTTGTGCCCATCTGTTGGCTTCTGCTGCAGGCAGAAACGGGTCTCCCTGGCACCCTCCCCACAGGTGTCCTCACCTGGAGCTGCAGCTGCCGTGACCCATTCAGTAATGCAATGAACCCTTCCTGGAAGAGGGTACAGAACTCCTCAGTGATGGAAAGGGGCAGGGCTCTGGCTCACCTCCACAGGCCCCTTCCATCTCCAGTTTCTATTCGGTCACATTGAGCGTATCCCCCACGGGCAGTG